ACCATAGGGGTCACTGGGGAAGTCTGGGGATCCACTGGAAGAGGGAGGGTGGTTTCTCTGTCTCTTTGAAGAAGATCGCTCCCATCGAGACAGGCGCGTATATCACCACGTTCTCTCTTGGAGGCACACTGAATGTAACTCCAGTTTAACCTAGAAGGCAAATATGCTAAATCCCTGGCGGGGATCCTGAGAGCAGGGAATGCAATCCAGGAAGAAACCACCAACATGAGGGACTCTCCTCCAATTCAATTGATGAATGCGATGTGCTTTTCATGACCCAGTTTTCGGCACTGAGTTCACGGAGATCTTCTTGCCTCCTACAGCTCCTCAATGCCCACCCAACAGCCACTATGAGCCTTGCGCCAACGCCTGCCCACCCACCTGCAAGAACCCAAGTGCTCCGGCCACATGCAATCTGGCGTGCAGGGAAGCCTGTGTCTGTGACTCTGGGTTCTTCCTCTACAATGGTAACTGTGTGCCCAGCCATCAGTGTGGGTGCTGGCACCAAGGGAAGCACTACCCAGTGGGCTCCAGCTTTTGGACCGACGACACCTGCTCCACCAAATGCACCTGCCCCAGTCGAGGTGGCCAAGTCAGCTGCTTTCCTGATTCCTGCCCTAACCATTATTACTGCGGAGTCCAAAATGGTGTCCCCAGCTGCTACCCACATACGTACGGGGTCTGCCGTGTCCACAACGACCCTCATTACAACACTTTTGACAAACAGACGCACCACTTCATGGGCACCTGCACCTACACCCTGGCCAAGGTCTGCGCCAATGAGACGGGGCTGCCCTACTTTAACATCGAGGCCAAGAACGAACACCGTGGGAATCCCTCCGTCTCTTATGTCCAGCGGGTCCTGGTGGAGGTTTACGGGCACCGGATTGAGATCCTCAAAGGACACAAGGATCGAGTGCTGGTAACCCAAAGCAGTTTCTCATTTCCTACTTGTGCTTTGAAATAGAACGAAGCTATAGTCCTTCCCGATTCTCTGCTGATCGTTTTTGATTGGCACGTGTGGGGAAATCCTGTTTCCTAATTTCTGGTGGAATATCAGTTTGATCAGGGATAACTGGGAACCAAATAGTAACAGCCTCTCCTTTGATTGGTGCCAGGGCATGATTTCTTATTGATTGATTAATTTTTTTATGATACTTCTTTTCCCTCTCCTGGAAATATCCTCAGAGTCAGTATTTCCGTACGGGGACTTAGTAATGGGGAACCTAACTTTTCCCATCCTGATCATCTTCAGGTGGTTCCTTTCTTGGGAAATACAGTTACAGTTTGTGTCTGACTCCTTCTAGGTGGACAAAGTGCTTACAAGGCTTTCTGTGCGCAAGCTGAACAACGCCCTGAGAGTGGACCTCAATGGACGCTACGTGACCCTAGAAACGGATTTCGGGCTGATTGTCTCTTACGACACAGATCACTCGGTGGAGATCAGGGTCCCCACCACCTTCTTCAACAAGACCTGCGGCATGTGTGGGAACTTCAACAACCGCCGGCAGGATGACAGCATGATGCCCAACGGAGAGCAAGCCAAGAATTCCAATGAGCTGGGAAACAGCTGGCAGGTGCCCAATGCAGAGTACGACCCCCCTGATTGTAAGCCCCCACCCCCCACAAAACTTTGTCCCTCAGAGCTGAAAAACCTCTATGAGACAGAGGCCTATTGCGGACAGCTTACCAGTAGCCAGGGACCGTTGGCAGTTTGCCATTCTGCAATCAACCCCAACAGCTTCTTCCAGAGTTGCGTCTTTGACCTGTGTGAACTGAATGGGTCCCAGGAGGCCTTGTGTGGTGCTTTGGAGGCGTACGCTGATGCCTGCCAAAGAGCTGGCGTGAAGCTTCCCGACTGGAGGAATGCCACTTCCTGCAGTGAGTATCCACTTAGAGTACCCTAAAAGATAAACAATTGACACATTTGGGGAAATATGCTCTCTTGGTCGGTTGCAGTAGCATTCCAGGTCATGCAAAAGGGCAGGTGTCACCGAAAATCTACCTTTGGCTGAAGGACTTGCTTGTCTTCAGGTGGTGATGGGGGTGGAGATGGGCCATCAGCTTAGTTATTGCCTCAGCCGGAAACTCATTTATGAACCAGATTCCACGACTCCCTGTGTCACGATCCATTTGCAGACGTGATTCCTTGAGCGCATAGAATCCCCAAGCACATAGAATCTATCAATAATCCCTGTTCTTTCCAGCATCACTGGTAGCTTCCTGCTGCACAGCACGTGGACCAGAAAAAGTGCTCGCATTGAGCGTGGCCTTAGGAAGCGTACCTCACTTTCTGGGTGGTTCCTGCTTTGTTTTGTAGAAATCCCTTGCGGTGATCACAGCCATTACAACGTGTGCGCCACTTCCTGTCCCGCCACATGTTCCAATCCACTGGCTCCGTGGAACTGCACCAAGCCTTGCGTGGAGGGCTGCGAATGCGACAAAGGCTTTGTCCTAAGCGGAGCACAATGTGTGCCGCGGGAGGATTGCGGCTGTGTATTTGGAGATCAATATTATGAGGTTGGTTCCCAAGCAACGTCTGTGGCCAGGACAGAATCTGCAGCAACTTTCACAACAGTGCAGGGGCCTCATCTTTTTCTCTGGCTTTTCTCCAACAGAAAGGAGAGACGTTCTGGCAGCCGGATTGTGTCAGCCAATGTCACTGTGCAAATAAAGGCAACTTGTCCTGCGTCCCAGACAGTTGCAAAAACGGCCAAGTCTGTAAAGTACAGAATGGCATCCTGGGATGCTACATTCCAGACAAGGCCACCTGCCACATCTACGGAGACCCTCACTATGTCACCTTCGATGGGCGACTCTATCATTTCCAGGGCGGGTGCAATTACACCGCAGTGCAAATCTGCAGCAACTCCTCCGAGCGCTTCTCCGTGACCACTCGGAACGAACATCGCTCCAGCCCGCACTGGACGGCTCTCAACTCAGTGGCCATCTCACTGAGAAACACCCACCTGGCTCTGAGGAAGAACAAAGAGGTCTACGTGAGTATTGCACCCTGAAGAACGGTGCAAGGGCAAGTGACTAATGGGATGAAGTTCTGGGGTTCCCCTTCACATTTAGCAGTCCTCCCAGAAAAGCTGTTTAAGAAGAGGTACAATCCTACAGCCACCGTTTTATAAGAACTGGTACAAATATGCCAAGGATAAAGATTCTCCTTTATTGCAGACAGAGTTGAATCAGAATAGACCAGGAAGGGACCTTGGAGCTCTTCTACTCCAATCCCCTGCCCAAGCAGGAGACCCTATACCATTTCAGACAGGTGGCTGTCCATTTTCTTCTTAAAAACCTCCAGTGATGGAGCACCCACAACTTCTGGTGGCAAGTTGTTCCCCTGGTTAGTTGTCCTCACTGTTAGGAAGTTTTTCCTTAATTCTAGGTTGCTTCTCTCCTTGATTAGTTTCCATCTGTTTCTTTTTGCCTTGCCTTCTGGTGCTTTGGAAAATAGCTTGACCCCTTCATCTTTGTGGCAGCCCCTCAAATACTGGAGCACTGCT